GGTGAACCAATGGCAAAGGAAGACCTTTCTCTCTGTCTCTCTCTCTCTGTCCACTCTGCCTGTCAAAAAAAAAAAAAAAAAAAAAAAAGAATCATTATACTGGGGCAGTGCTGTGGTGCAGCGGGTTAAAGCCCCGGACTGCAGCGTTGGCATCCCCTATGGGCACCACTTCAAGTCTCGACTGCTCCATTTCTGATCCAGCTCCCTGCTAATGCACCTGGGAAAGCAGTAGAAGATGGCCCAAGTCCTTGGGCCCCTGCACCCACGTGGGAGACCTGAAGAAGCTCCTAGCTTCTGGCTTTGAATCAGCTCAGCTCCGCCCATTGCAGTCATTTGGGGAGTGAACCAGAGGATGGCAGGCCTCTCTCTCTCTCTCCTCTCTCTCTCTCTCTAACTCTCTACGTAACTCTTTCAAATAAATGAAATAAATCTTAAAAAAAAAAAAAGAATCATTATACATTGCAAAATCATTCTTGTTGTACAAAGAAGTTCACATGAATAGTACTCTACTATTTGTGTTCAGAAAAAGTGGAAGGGCCGGCGCCATGGCTCACTTGGTTAATCCTCCGCCTGCGGCGCCGGCATCCCATATGGGCGCCGGGTTCTAGTCCTGATTGCTCCTCTTCCAGGCCAGCTCTCTGCTGTGGCCCGGGAGGACAGTGGAGGATGGCCCAAGTCCTTGGGCCCTGCACCCGCATGGGAGACCAGAAAGAAGCATCTGGCTCCTGGCTTTGGATCAGCGCACTGCCAGCCGTAGTGGCCATCTGGGGAGTGAACCAACAGAAGGAAGACCTTTCTCTCTGTCTGTCTTTCTCACTGTCTAACTCTATCTGTCAAATAAAAAAAGAAAAGAAAAAGTAGAAGTAAAAGTAAAAGTGGCAGGGCTGGCATTGTGGCATAGCAGGTAAAGCCCCAATCTGCAGCACGAGCATCCCATGTGGGCACCACTTCAAGTCCCGGCTGCTCGACTTCCCATCCAGCTCCCTGCTGATGCACCTGGGAAGTGCAGTTCTGGGTTCAATCCCCAGCTGCAGCTCTTCTCCTGACTCCGGCTTCCCACTGATGTGGGAGGAGCCATGATTACTCAGTAATCAGCTCCTGCCACTCATATGGGAGACCAGGACTATATTCCTGGCTCCTGGCTCCAGCTCCAGCCCAGAACTGGGCACAGGAGTATTTGAGAAGTGAATCTGAAAATGGGAGTGCTCTGTCTCTCTCTCTCTCTTTCTCACAGGAGCTGGGACAGGCCTAAGCCAGGAGCTGCAGACTCAACCTGGGTCTCTCACATGGGTGGCAGCCATGCACCGTAGGAAGCTGGAGTTGGGAGTGGAGCCAGCACTTTACCCCAGGCACTCACTGGGGTAGGCGTTGTGACACAGCCAGTGAGGCTGCCGCTTGAGACGCCCACATCCCATATTGGCGTACCTGGGCAGGTCCTGGCAGCTCTGCTTCTGATCCAGCTTCCTGCTAGTGCACATCCCAGGAAACACCAATGATGGCTCAAGTCCTTGGGTCCCTGCCACCCCACTGCTGATCTGGATTGAATCCCAGGCTCCTAGCTACTGCCTGGCCTAGCCGTGCCTGTTGCAGGCATTTGGGGGAAGGAACCACTGGATAGATCTATCTCTATCTGTATCTGTATCTGCTGCTCTGCTTTTCAAATAAATAAAAATAAAAGAAGAAACTTTAAAAAAACAAAAACAGGTACTTGGATTTAAATGTGCATATCCCATGTGACAGCATAACCACTGAAATGAGTGTCTGTCCCCAGCAGTGGGAATTTCTTTTTTAAAAATTTATTTATTTAGTTGAAAGTCAGACTTACGCAGAGAGAGAATGAGAGGCAGAGAGAGAGACAGGGAGGTCTTGCATCCACTGATTCACTCCCCAATTGGCTTCAACAGTTGGAGCTGTGCCAATCCAAAGCCAGGAGCCAGGAGCTTCTTCCAGGTCTCCCACGTGGGTGCAGGGGCCCAAGGACTTGGGCCATCTTCCACTGCCTTCCCAGACCATAGCAGAGATCTGGATTGAAAGTGGAGCAGCCAGGACTAGAACCGGCACACACACGGGATGCTTGCACCACAAGCGGGGGATTAACCTACCGCACCACGGCGCTGGCCCCTGGGTGAGCTTCTATTCTCACACCTCTTTCCTTTTCCATGTTGCCTGTTCCTCACATAAATTTTAAAAATGATATTTTCTTATTTACTTTCATTTTAGCACATTATGTAACACCTAGAAATGCAAACTATAACGAGTAATAATGCCTGCATGTACCCACACTTACTAACACGTCACCAACACAGCTGAAGCTTCCTGTGGTCATCCTGACCATATATGAATCCCCCTCTGCTCCCTCAGATGTGACCACCTTCCTGATTTCAGTGTTTTTTATTCTGTAGCATTTACAAACTCTTCACTACATTTGTAGGCATCCCTAAGTAATCTGTACCAGTTCTGTGAGGTTTTCTTTAACTTACTTTAACTGCTGCTTAGTATTTCATTGTGTGAATATCAGCTTATATATTTTCCTATTGATGAACACATTATTTTCAATTTTTTGCTGTAATACACAATGCTTCCATAAAAAATGTTGTTAGCTACTTTCCTTGTGCACCTTGGTTTCTGACAGCTGTGCACTGTTTAATACAGTATATGCTGGGATAAGGAGCTATGTCAGACTATAAATCAACATAGCTCTTCCTGCATCAGAAAGTCTTGTCTTAGAAAGGTCAGCTAACCGAAGCAGTATGCTTAGTTATGTCATTGATTACATCCTGTACCAGCTCTTCATCTTATTATGGTCCAGTAACAACAAGTTTGAGAATGTGGATTCTGAGTGAAATTGTTGGGTCATAGGCACACCTTGCACTTTACTGCATCTTTCAAAAATACTCTCCAAAGTTGTTGTACCAATTTTTATGGCTATTAGAAGTGAACAAAAATTCCCACTGTTGGAGCTGGCACTGTGGGGTAGTGGGTAAAGCTGCTGCCTGCAGTGCCGGCATCCCATATGGGCACCAGTTCATGTCTTGGCTGCTCCACTTCTGATCCAGCTCTCTGCTATGGCCTGGGAAAGCAGTAGAAGATGGCGCAAGTCCTTGGGCCCCTGCACCCACGTGGGAGACCTGGAGGAGGCTCCTGGCTCCTGGCTTCAGACCAGCCCAGCCCCGGCCCTTGCAGCCATCTGGGGAGTGAACCAGCAGATGGAAGACCTCTCTCTCTGTAACTCTGACTTTCAAATAAATAAATAAATCTTAAAAAAAAAAAAATGCTGGCCGGCGCCGTGGCTCAATAGGCTAATCCTCCGCCTTGCGGCGCCGGCACACCAAGTTCTAGTCCCGATTGGGGCGCCGGATTCTGTCCCGGTTGCCCCTCTTCCAGGCCAGCTCTCTGCTATGGCCAGGGAGTGCAGTGGAGGATGGCCCAAGTGCTTGGGCCCTGCACCCCATGGGAGACCAGTAGAAGCACCTGGCTCCTGGCTTCAGATCAGCGTGGTGCGCTGGCCGCAGCGGCCATTGGAGGGTGAACCAACGGCAAAGGAAGACCTTTCTCTCTGGCTCTCTCTCTCACTGTCCACTCTGCTGTCCCCCCCCCAAAAAAATGCTGAGATAATACTAACATTGTCGAAGTGGATTGTCTTCTATGGGGGCGGGCACTGAGCATAGCAGTGAAGATGCTGGAGTTGTGTTTGTCCATACCTGGCTGCAGCTTCCCACCAGTGCAGCCCACGGGAGGCAGTGTCGATGACTCACGTCGTCGGGTTCCTGCTACCCATGTAGAAGACCTGGCCTGCGTTCCTGGCTCCCAGCTTTAGCCTCATCCAGCCCGGCTACAGGGGGCATTTGGAGAATTAATCGGCAAACGTGCTCTCTCTCCATCTGTCTCTGTTTCTCCTCTTCTCTGCTTCTCAAGTAAAAACTAACATTTTAATGTATTAAAAATTATCTTCTATGGTAACTTTATTGATTTCACTATTATTTTATAAGATAGTTTTCTAGTCCTTTATAGTCATGTGAAAAATTCATAGTGTTACTTTGGACTTAATTTATGTGACTAAAAATAAAAAATCAAGGGGCCAGTGCTGTGGTGCACTGGGTTAATCTTCCGCCTGCAGTGCTGGCATCCCATATGGGCACCGGTTCGAGTCCTGAATGCTCCACTTTCAATCCAGCTCTCTGCTGTGGCCTGGGAAAGCAGTAGAAGATGGCCCAAGTCCTTGGGCCCTATACCTGTATCAGAAACCAGGAAGAAGCTCCTGGATCCTGGCTTTGGATCAGCTCAGCTCTGGCTGTTGCGATCATTTGGGGAGAGAACCAGCAGATGGAAGACCTCTCCCTCTGACTCTACTTCTCTCTGTAACTGTTTCAAATAAATAGAAATAAATCTTTTTAAAAAATTAAAAAATCAAGATACTAAAATATAGGGGCCTTAAAACCTCCAATTAAGTTTCCGTGTACACAGGTCTTTCTTTAATAATATTTCCAGTCACAAAAGAAAAATTATTCAATAAGTAGATCCACTCTAAAAGTTAGAGTCTTGAGTAATAGTAATTCTAAACAGAAAATATATTTCCAGGCCGGCGCCGTGGCTCAATAGGCTAATCCTCCACCTAGCGGCGCCGGCACACTGGGTTCTAGTCCCGGTCGGGGCGCCGGATTCTGTCCCGGTTGCCCCTCTTCCAGGCCAGCTCTCTGCTGTGGCCAGGGAGGGCAGTGGAGGATGGCCCAAGTGCTTGGGCCCTGCACCCCATGGGAGACCAGGAGAAGCATCTGGCTCCTGCCTTCGAATCTGCACGGTGCGCCGGCCGCGGCGGCCATTGGAGGGTGAACCAACGGCAAAGGAAGACCTTTCTCTCTGTCTCTTTCTCTCACTGTCCACTCTGCCTGTCAAAAAAAATAATAATAAAAAAATAATAAAAAAATAAAAAAGAACCTACTCTAAAAAAATATATATATATATTTCCAAAGATGGCTACACCAGTATGTTTCATCCCACAGGCTCTTCGCATAGTGTGATACTGACACCCCTGCAGTGGGAGATGGAGTCTGTGTTTCCTCCTCTGGAGCCTGGTGAGACCTTTGTAACTCCCTCAAACAGTAGACCAGCAGAAGGGCACACAGCAGTGTGTCCTCAGAGGCGAGGTCATCAAAAGCAATACGGATTCTGCTTTGTGCTGTCTCCAGGGACACACTGGGAATTCTGATCCGACATAAAAGAAGTTCGCTGGAAGCTGCCCCGCTGGAATGCCACATGCCAAGAAACCCCAGGGACCCCTGGTCTCAATTAGCTCAAGTCTTCCTGGCACTGCCTGCCAGGCTCACGATGCAGTGGTGGGTCTAGTCTCCAGCTATGTTAGTCAGTGCCCTCCTGAGAAACTCAAGCATTGTGGAGGCTGACCAGTCCAACCTCTGCAGGGGAGACAGCCAGTGAGAGATCTGGGGGGAAGCCGACGTTGCAAGCTCAAGTCCAAAGGCAGTCTGCTATTTCCTCAGTCTTTTCTCTGAAGTCCTTCAACAGGTTGGACGGTGCCCGTTCGCATTGTGGAGGGTAATCTTCATACTCAAAGTCTACCTTAAAAACAGCAACAAAATAGCACTACCTTTACAGCAACATCTGGATTGATGTTTGACCAAATATCTGGGTATCGTGAACTAACCAGATTGACACATGACATTAACTATGACACCAGCCTGCAAGTCATCCCAGCTAACACCAGCTGGAGCCAAGGTACATTGCTCCACCAAGTCCTACCCTCATGTGGACTTGTACGTAAACATTGTCATTTTGAGCCACCAAGTTTCAGGATAATTCGCTGTGCAGCATATGTACCCAGAAGTGGTATTTGTAAACTCTAGTGACTGTTTGCATACGCATTTGTTATTTCATTTACCTTTAGGTGCACATTCGTGTTGGGAAGGATTAATACCAAAATGTAACTAACCAGTAAGAATGGGAGCCAATCAGAGTGTAGCAGGATGAGAGCTCTCCCCACCCCCACCCTGCCCCACCCCATTGGGCTGAGTGTAAACTTCTTGGTTGGTAGATCTCAGGAATCAGGAGCTTAAGGACAGCAGTCCATCACCAATCTGTATAGAATTATTTTAGTATTTACACAAGCAAACCAGGGCAGATCAGTAGGTATTAGCAAGAAAGTGGGTCTGACACCTAGCTGTAGTGCTTTTGGTGGACTGTGGCTCATTTGCTTCATCATCCTGACAGCTATCGAAGAAAACCCTGGCAGGAATGTGCCTCTGGTAAGAATGCACTGGACTATGTGAGCAGAGTCTCGTTTGCACTGGAGAAGCCTAACAGCACGGTGTTTGTCTCCCAACGGATGCCACTCAGTATCGAGCCCATGACTCAGCTCAGAGGCATGGCCCTGAGATTCTGGGATTCCACAGGAGGACCTATGATTGGGCCACTGTGGGCCAGATACTCCAGTACAAAACCATGAAGTTATCTGAGCATACAGCCATTAGTAGTCATAGATAAAATACATCAGTAAAAAGTGGTGTTTGTCTACCCCCTAGAAAAACAGGAGTTTGGATTTGAGCTCACCAGTGGCTCAGAATCTCACCCTTCTTAACATGAAGCTACCTGATCATTGCAGAGAGTAGAATCAGAGCTTGGAAGATGAGAAATTCTGATTAAATTTGGTCTAGCAAAATTAAAGTGGGGCCCTTTTCCTCACTTAATTTTATTTATTTATTTTTTTACTATTTGACAGAGGCTGACAACAACCTCTTTTTTTTCTTTTTTAAATATTTATTTATTTGAAAGGCAGAGTTACAGAGAGGCAGAGATAGAGAGAGAGAAAAAGGTCTTCCACCCACTGATTCACTCCCTAGATGACCGAAATGGCTGGAGCTGTGCTGATCCGAAGCCAGGAGCCAGGAGCTTCTTCCAGGTCTCCCACATGGGTGCAGGGGCCCAAGACTTGGGCCATATTCTACGGCCTTAGCAGAGAGCTGGATCGGAAGTGGAGCAGACGGGACTCAAACCAGTGTCCATATGGGATGCCGGCACTGTAGGCGGTGGCTTTAACCTGATGTGCCACAGCATTGGCCCTTCCTCACTTAATTTTAAAACACTTTATTTGTGAGGCAGACAGAGACAAGAGAGCGCTCCTATTTGCTGGTTCACTCCCAAACACCTGTAACAGCTATAGGATGGAAACTGGGAGAGGGGAACCCAATCCACGTCTCCCACATGGAGGACAGGAACCCAACTATTTGCGACATCACTGGTTTCCAGGGTACAGGTTAGCAGGGATATAGAATTGGGGGTGGGGCTTGGACTCAGACTCAGGCAGTCTGATTTAGGACATGTCCATCCTAACCAGCATCTTAATTGCTAAGCCAAAAGCCCACCCCTACCTCATTTAATTTCCTTACAACCTCTTGTTGGTAAATATTAAAAAGATTGGTTCTGTCTTACTGCTAGGGAAGATATGTATTACCATCTGAGAAAGTCAAGGCATCACTCTTCAGGAATAAGATCAGATACTTTTTTTTTTTTTCGACAGGCAGAGTGGACAGTGAGAGAGAGAGAGACAGAGGGAAAGGTCTTCCTTTGCCATTGGTTCACCCTCCAATGGCCGCTGCGGGAGCCAGGTACTTCTCCTGGTCTCCCATGGGGTGCAGGGCCCAAGTACCTGGGCCATCCTCCACTGCACTCCCTGGCCACAGCAGAGAGCTGGCCTGGAAGAGGGGCAACCGGGACAGAATCCGGTGCCCCGACCGGGACTAGAACCTGGTGTGCCGGCGCCGCAAGGCGGAGGATTAGCCTAGTGAGCCGCGGCGCCGGCGGATTCTGGTTTTAAGGTATATATCTTTAAAAAAAAAAAAAAAAAAGATTTGGGGCTGGTGCCGCGGCTCACTTGATTCATCCACCGCCTGCGGCACCGGCATCCCATATGGGCTGCGTCTCTAGTCCCAGTTGCTCCTTTTCCAGTCCAGCTCTCTTCTGTGACCCAGGAGGGCAGTGGAGGATGGCCCAGGTGCTTGGGCCCCTGCACCCATGTGGGAGATCAGGAGGAAGCACCTGGCTCTTGGCTTTGGATCGGCATAGCTCTGGCCGTAGTGGCCATTTTGGGGGTGAACCAACGGAAGGAAGACCTTTCTCTTTGTTTCTCTCTCTCACTGTGTCAAATAAATTTTAAAAAAGATTTATTTTATTCATTTAAAAGGCAGAGTTACAGAGAAAGACGGGGGAGAGGGAGAGAGAGAGAGAGAGAGAGATCTTCCATATGCTTGTTCACTTCCCAGATGGCTGCAATGGCTGGGGCTGGGCCAGGCTGAAGCCAGGAGCCGGGAGCTTCTCCCACGTCTTCCCAGGCACATTAGTAGGGAGCTAGATTGGAAGTGGAGCAACTGGGACTTGAACCGATGCCCAAATGGGATGATGTACTGCAAGTGGCAGCTTCACCTTCACGCCACAATGCTAGTATATATCTTTTATGAGGTATAGAGTCTGACTTGAAGATTTGATGGAACTATGGAATAAACAGCTAAATCAGTGGTAGAACCTACACTTTCTCCCACCCCCCCCTTTTTTTTTTTTTAAGATTTTTATATTTATTTGAGAGAGAGAGTTACAGAGAGAAAGGTCTTCCATCTTCTGGTTCACTCCCTAAACGGCCACAACGGTTGGAGCTGGGCCCATCCGAAGCCAGAAGCCAGGAACTTCTTCCAAATCTCCCATGTGGGTGCAGAGGCCCAAGTATTTGGGCCATGCTGCACTGCTTTCCCAGGCCATAGCAGAGAGCTGGATCAGAAGAGGACCAGCCAGGACTCAAACCAGCACCCATATGGGATGCCAGCACTGCAGGCAGAGGCTTAGCCCACCAGGCCATGGCGCCAGCCCCCACACCCTATTTTTGAGTCATTCGTTCATAGTGGTTGGTAAACGTAATGAGGATTTAGGAGGTGCCTCCTGGAGCGTGTGAAGTTGACATGAAAAGGAAAGAGATGTCCTTTATAAAGTTAATTCTTTACAATCAAAAATAAAACATAAAGCAGTTTAAAACTGCACAATGCCTTTAGCTAACAGTGTAAACACGCATGCAATGGGTGGATGGGTGAGTTGCTCATCAGTGAAGTACACTAGGAAGAATTAGTGGGAAATCCCAGGCAGAGCAAAATCTGCTTTGTATATATCTGGTTGTTCAGATCAAGGTCACTTGGGGGATTGAATGATCTGGAAGACCCTCACTGTTGATGGCTAATCCCTCAAGGGGAGTGCGGAAGTGCTCTCAGAATACAGGCGGGCTGTGGAGGGAGTTTCTTCTCCCTCTCTTTCTTTCTGGTAGGGTCAAAAGTAAGGATTTAGCACCAATGTGAGGTTGCTTCTGTTTTTGTTTTAATAGAAGCTTAGAATCCAAGACTCATTCATTCAGCAACTGTGAGACATTAGAAACAATAGGTCCACCTCAGAAACTTTCTAAAAAAGCATTGTTGAATGAAAAAAAAAGCAAGTTGTTTAAAGAATGCCTGTAGTCAGATGCTTATGTAAATTAAAAACAAAGTAATTCTTTATGCAAGTAAAATACGTAACAATACATAAACTAGTTAACTTTTGGAAGAAAGCCTGATTAGGCTGAGGCCAGATTTTGGTCTGTGATTTGCTTCCATTTTGTTAGATTTCTTTAAGATTTGTGAATGAGACGACGAGTATATTGGCATCTGAGTATTAACTCTGTCTTATCCTCCCCAGATTAAGTAAGGACAGGAGTCCTTCTGAAGTGTGTGATTTTAGAATGCTTTTAAATTTTAAACATTACATTCTTCTGTATTTAACCGCCAGAAAACTTCCAAGATTTGGTTCTTTTAATGTCGCATGCCCCTTTTTCTCCAGTATTTTCCCTGTTAGGATCCCCTTGAATAGTGTTGCTAACAGATGCACTAATCCCTGTAGCTACATCAACCCCCTTTTCCCATGAACACTCTGAAGACACAGGAGAGTGTCTCTCTTTAAAGCATCTCTCTGTTTCTCTGCTGATTTACGGACTAATAATGCGAACGAAATACGCAATGGAAACTCTTGTAGCAAGACAGCTGCGATGTTAAAAAAAGCTGAAGGACAAGTCAGCGTGAGGTTCTCTGTCACTAAGCCGGGCCATCTTCTGCAAGGGGCGAACCACCGCACTCACAGGCGGTGGAAAGTTTTACACTTTTGACAGGAGGTTTTCTGTGACCCTTGCAAAAATAGAAAAAGGCAGCTGGGTGCTGAGCCTGGGAGAAGAGCCACAGGTTTTGTGAGGCTCACCAGCCACTCAAAACACTTCTGGAATCCCGGGCCTCGGTGCTACCCACCTGTTGAACGAGGAACGAGACCCTGTGAGCATTTGGTTACAAATCCTATTGCATTAAGAGGGCCACAAAGTATCATAAGCAGCTGAGAAATTCACAGACAGAAATAAGAATGATGTTGAAGAGGAGTAGCTGATTTTGGAAATGTAAGTGGTTGCATTAACTCATTTGTAATAGGTTTATTTATTTATTTGGAAATCAGAGTTACAGAGAGAGAGATAGAGACAGAGACAGAGACAGAGAGACAGAGATCTTCCATCTGCTGGTTCACTCCTCAGTTGGCTGCAATGACCAGGGCTGGGCCAGGCGAAAGCCAGGAGCCAGGAGCTTCATCCAAGTCTCCCACATGTATAGCAGGGGCCCATGGAATTGGGCCATTTTCTTCTGCTTTCCTTGGCCATTAGCAGAGTTGGATTGGAAGTGGAGCAGCCAGGACATGAACCAGTGCCCAATATGGGATGCTGGTGCCACAGGTGGAGGCTTTACCCAAAATACCACAAGGCTGACCCCAAACTCTTATGGTTAAACATGAATTGAGAAACTTGGGCAAAGCAAGTGTACAAACTGTTTTCTTTTTTAAAGATTTATTTATTTATTTGAAAGTCAGAGTTACACAGAGAGAGAAAGGGAGAGAGAGAAAGAGGTAGTCCACCCTCTAGTTCACTCCCCA